AGTGGATGCCCTGGTGGTGTTCAAAGCCAGGCTGGATGAGGCCTTGAGCAACCTGGTCTAGTGGGGAGGTGTCCCTGTCCATGGCAGAGGAGGTTGTGACAAGATGATCTGTAAGATCCATTCCAACCCCTAAAATTCTGTGATTCTTTGAAGGAAGTCTCACAATTGATAATATAAAATTGTTGATCATCAAGTCATATTAAACAAATAAAGGGAAAGCCAGTGCGTGAAAACATGCATTGTTATTTTCTATAGATGTTTCCATTTTTGCAATGAGAACTCCTGAATTTAGTCACCCTCAGTGGACTGCTTGTTCATAAGTTTGGTCAGTTGCTGTTTTGAGCTCATCTCAACTTTAGGCAGGCACAGAATGATAAAGCAGTAGTGATCTCCACCACGTGACTACATATGATATCATTGTGAAGCAGCTACATACATGCAATTATTTGATTCCCTTTAGTTCTGTAGTATAAGAAATAGAGTTGGTTTATGTTGCCTTTTCTGTGTCACTTAACATGTTTCCAGACCTCTGTTGCATTTGTCTTGAATCCATCTCTTTTCCAGGAGAGAGACTTCTAATTATTTATTTGCTCTTTATTTTTAAGATATTCCATATCAATTGATTCATCATGTTCAGTTGCCTTTTTTGACCTTACATCTTTGTCAGTATAACTGTATTTAAGAAAGTTATTTACATGGCAGCCAAAATGATCTTTAGAAACAGTGCTGTTTTACTCCAGTGTCCGGTCAATAGTGTCTACCTTGGCATTTGGCTGTCCCAATACATACTTTTGGACTAAAAAGCATAGCAGACATTCAGTTACACATCTTGAGTTGTGTTTGGAACTCTGGAAGTGTGGAGACCTGTTGAAAGTTTTGGTCACTGGCATTCTTCATATATAAAAAAATTGTGAGGTTTTATTTAGGTTCTGTAGCTTCATATCATTTTACTGGGTGATGAAATGAAATGGTCAGACTTGAATCCTGGGGCAGTACCTGGGCTGGGTTGAGTTTTGGTGCAACACTCATGAATGGGTGTTGAGAATTTGGGAATAGAATCATTCTGTTCTATAAAAATTGCCAGTTGCTCGCTCCATTTCAGAAATACCTTTTCAGTGCAAGAATATTGTTTCTAAGTGGCTCCCTGCTTACACTGCTGTCTGTGCTGCAGCATCCCAACAGCTAATGAAACTGTGGAAGTTAAGATATTGCTGTGTATGAAGCAGCAGTAGGTAGGCCCAGTGAAACAGCTCATTTGCATGGATTTGACAGTACTGGTTATTTTAGGTGGCCCAGTAGTTTTAAAATGTTTACAGTTTTTCAGTCTGCAGTTAAAATACAATTGAATTAATCATTGAATTGTAGCTAATTTACATGGTGGAAGAAAATTTCACAATGCAGATGTGGGAATTTTGATTCAGTGCAACATTACCTGAGGGTGTTTAAATGCTTTCTTTCGTTATGTTTTGGAAAGTGTCAGTCTCGGGGGAGGGGAAAAGCTGTTATTCTCCCTTTGTATACTATGAAATATTTCAGTTTGATTTCAAAAGAGGATCCAGGTGTAATGACTCATTGCTTTCAACTGTTCTACAAACATCCAGTTAGTATGATGTGTGATAGCTGACAATTGTCCTGCTGATATAAAGTTATGTTAGTCTAGATATTTTTCAGTAAATTTTGTTTTCAGTTAATGCAGAAGACAGGCAGCTGGAGCTTTGGCTCTTTGTCTAGAATGACGTAGCAAAGCTTTTTTCATCATTACTGATACGTGTGAAACAATACCTAGTTTCACCTTTTCCTGTTTGTTTTTGTTTAAGTGCTCCACCTCCACCTGGAAGTGAAGAGGAAGCTGCAGAAAATGGCGTTGTGAAAACGGTAGTTTTACAAGTGTTTTTGAAATACTGCTTTAATATGTTTTGATTCTATGGTTTATTGTGAATTCATCATTTGACTGGGACTTATAATTAAATACATTAATGCATAAGTGTACAGCTTTGATTTTTTCCTTCTCTGAAAGTTTTTTTATGGAATCTGCAGAAACTACAAAAATTGATAAATTAGGAAATCAAATTACCAGCTACAGTCCAGTGTTACTATCTAACTTATCGAACATGAGTAGTACTTCCAGGGTTTTTTTGAGGGAAAGATGGTGCTTCAAGACAGTTATCCTTTTATAGAGACAACCTTTTCAAAACAATATTCTATTTTGTTCTCACTGATAGGAAAATAAGATCCTCTGATCATTTTTCTTTTTTGAACGTGATAAACAATCAGCATTTGCAGAACTATGTGAAAGTGTGGATCAAGAGGCAAATTATATGAGCCTTTCAGAGTCAACATAACAGACTTGTCTTCAATGATTAGTGTGTCTTATAACTTCAGTGTTAGTATGATGGAAAGGACTAAGAAATACAGTTGCAGTGTTGATAAAAGGACTCAGTTTACTGTGAATGGGAACAATTTTGATATGTTCTGTGAAGTGATGCAAGAACCATTATTATGATATTGGTGCAAGTTTTAAGGACTGATCTCTCTCAAAAGTTTGGGTTTTTTTCAGTAACTCTAATGCTTTGTTTATGAAAGATATTACAACTTTTTTGAAGTTGAGGAAAAACATTATAAAACCAAAAACTTATTTCAGTTGTTTAAACTGAAAAGCTACTTACTTAAAGTGCATCAAAGGTGTTTTGTGTAATGCCAATATTGTATGTGGGTGGTAAATATTTAATATGTTATGTTCCAGGTGAGAATAATACACTTTTTGGGACTTGCTAATTTAAAGTATTTCTGAAAATCCTTATTTGTGCAGTTTCCTTGTACTTGCATATCTTTGTGTTTTTCATCTGCATGCCTAGCATTGTTAGGATATGAAATTGAGAACTTCATGGTAAATGGTGCTTATGGAGGGTGAGCAGCAACTTAGAAAAATAGGTGGTGTTCTAGTTGGTTGAATAAGAAAACGTGAATATTTCTGTTAATAGATGCTATAATAGATAAGGGCTGAAGCTCAGCTGTGCTTAGGTAACTGTAGGCTGCCTGGGCAGAATCAACTTGGCCTTGGTGTGTTCAGCCTCTTGCTGAAGGATTCCAGTATGCACGTAAGGGTGATTTGGTTGATAAAGTTCACTTGAAGTCCACTAAATTTTTGAAGAAGTTCCTCACCAAAGGATTTTAAGAAAACTATGCAGTTATAGAATGAGTCCCACATGGATAATTGATGTGTAAAAGGAAATGGAATGGAAGTCAAGGTTCAGTTTTGACAGTGAAGGAAGGTCACCTCCAGTGGAGATTCTCTGATGTGCATAACCTGTGCTGTTTACTGTGTTTACTTGGAAAAGGGCTAAATTGTGAAATCACAAGTTTTTCTGATATCGCAGTTAATCAAGATAGTAAGAGCAAGGATGAGGTGTGAAGAACTGACTGGTTAATACATGGTTCTTGAATTTCTGTGTAGAAAAAGAAGAGTGATATCCATTGAACAAAACAGTTTAGAAAATAAAATGCTGTTCTCTGAACTGATCATTACTGCTTAGGAGGGACATATTAATAGATAAAGAAAGACCCACAAATTTGAGTTGTTAAGTGCTTGTCTGGAGCCTAAAAAGCAGTTAAACTTTGGGCTATAGCAGAAAGTGGATAGAGACCAAAATGGAAAATATCATTATACCATAAATTCATGGTTTTTTTTTTTCTTTCCCCTCATGTCATCAAGGCAGCTGGGAAAGCTGAGAGAAGAAGAGCAGCAAGAGTAGTTGAGGTGCTTTCCATACAAGGAATGGCTGAGTAGCCAAGGACTTCTCAGCTGGGAAGACAGGTGTATGTAGGATATGATGGAGGCTATCAAAATCTTGTATGGAGACTATAATAAACTATAGGGACTCCTCACAATCCCTGCCATATGAGGACTGGAACTGTTAAATGAAGGTCATAGGAGTCAGGATGAAAACAAATAAATGAGGTTGGATCTTCATGCAGTAGACAGTGCTGTGGAAACCCTTGCCAAAGAGTGTCACTACTGGGAGTTTATATGAGTCCAAGGGAAGTCTGGGCAAGTATTTGAGAGAAAGGTCCATTGGGGGTTACTAAATAGACAAACCAGAACTGGCTTAGGAAATGCCCTGAGCTGATGATAATCAGCAGCTGAACAAGTTAGGGAGGATCGTCATACGTGTTTGCCGTGTTTTTTCTCTCCCCTATGGTCTCTGTAAGGGGAAACCTAAACAAAACACCAAACAAACCCTAATGAGTGGACTAGATGAGCTCTTGGTATGAACTGGCATGACTTTTGTTTGCCAGCAAGCTATGGAACAGAACAGCATACAGTGTGCTCTTGTGTCTGATTTTTAACTGAAAAATCTCAAGTATTTTATATAGTTGACTGATGTTAGGAACTGGATAGATTTCTCTGAAGCATGGTGTTCATCCTTAACTGGAAAAACATTTATTTGAGTTACCCTGGATAAATAATTGATGACAAAAAGTTAGGCTAGCATATCTTTAGGCTCTTTTCCTGAATGGCAAAGTAAGAGTAGAGCCAGTGTGTATGAGCTAGAGAGAGGGAAGAAGGGTAATAGATAGTGGAACATATTATATGCTTAATTTGAAAATGTCCTGTTTCAGAAACTTTAGAAGCTTAGTATTAAAGATACTTCCCTATTTTGATCCAGATGTTTCAGATGGTAGTAGCTTCCTGAATTTACTCCTAATGTTGTTACTCAGTTCTGAGCTCTAGAGAAAGGAGAATTTTCTTCTTTCAAAGATATCTAGAACGGATAGTTTTGTCTGGATTATTTTTCCACTGTAAAGGTAAGTGACTCTTTTTGTCTAAGCAATGACTTTTTCTTTCGTAGAAAAAGGTGGCAGAGGCTGAGGATGACAGTGATAGTGATAGTGATGATGATGAAGATGATGTTCAAGTCACCATAGGGGATATTAAAACAGGAGCTCCACAGTTTAGGTAAGCTATTTGCAAACATTAACTGGTGGAACTTTTAAGATTATATTTAATTATTAATTCAGTGTCTTTAATGCTTGTCAATGTCAAATTGTATGCACCATTAATCTCAAGTAAGAGCTTTTAGTGCTCTTTAGCAGTGTTTATAATGATAGAGTGACTTGAAAACTGGGATATGAAATGAAATCAATTAAGTACAAGAAAGAACTGTTGTATGAGTTAAATTCTGTCATCAGATTCTGAGAAATAAATTCATTAAGTTTGTAAGGGAGTTGGGTTTATTATGCAATGGCTGTGTTACATAGTGTTTTTAGGGTCATTATTGTGACAGTGATATTTTTATTGCAAAGGGATGAGTGGCAAGAACATTGGAAACATTTGTCCCTTATCCTGTTTGTAGTGGATACAGTTCTAATTAGACCTCTAGAGCTTCAATTCCTATTGATGTTCTCAAATAAGATTTTAATGTACTTCAGGATGGAGCTGCCACTCCCTGGAGATAATTTCTGAAGATCATGGTGCAGGCATTTGTACTGTACAAGAATTGTTTTTCTACTGTTACTGCCCCATATTCTTTCTGCTCTTGAAAAAGGGCTTGTTTTCCGCTGAACACTTTGGAACAGTTTTAATTTTACCCCAAATTATGAAATACTATTTTTCATTGCACGGAAGTTTTCTGAAGGAAGTGGTTTGCTTGTTTTTCTTGGCATCCTAATGTTTTTATACTTATTAAAACCAGAGTTACTAGGGTGCTGTTTCTTAATAGAATTATGACAAGCCTGCAGGTTGGTCTGATTCATATATATCAATATGTTCTTAACTTTAGAATGCAGGTGATTTATTCCTGCTTGAGACATAATATTTTTAAACTTTCAGTATTTCATATCCTAAAGTACTGTGCAAATCAATGTAATATACAAAAATAGCAATTCTTTCAGTTCTTTATTTTTCTGCTTTCAATAACTTGCAGTATGCTTGTGGTGCAGGCAGTGACCTCAAATTTGGGGAGACTAAAACAAAACTAGATTTGTATTCTCACTGGATTTGCTGATGCTCTTTCCATGAATGTGGAAAACAATGAGCAGATGATGCTAATTCTAATTAAGAGTGGAAAGTTTTATATAGAAATGCTTGTTTTCTGAAAAACCTCTATTTCTGGGCAAATTGGACAGAAAGTTCATGGAAGGACAGTAATCTAAAACAAACTGCACATTGCTGTACATTTTAACTCCAGTAGAACCAACTTCTTTTATAGAATTAAACAATTTTTCATATACTAGTCAACTGCTGTTTAAAAAAGCCCATTGGATTTGTTTGACAAAGTCATGCACAAATACAGCCAGGCAGATCAGAAGGTGAAATGTTTTGTGTCAATTTTGTACTGTTGTAGCACTGGCATGAAAGCTCAAACTGCACGGAAGTGTGTACTGTAAACTATACACTTGCCTTTTAATTATGTGCTAATCTCATTATGTTTATGGGTTGATACCACCTGTGAGGATAAGCTACAATGTCCACAAATGATACTGAAATCTAACTCTTAATGTTACATGTGAACAAGATTGATTCCTAAGGTAGTTAAATCTGTTCAGTATTTCAATTTCTGGGTACATTTTATATCAAGAAAGCTCTCAAGTGTTTTAGAAAGTGAAAAGTTGCATACTTTTCTGTTACTCACAAGTATAGGTGATTGCTACAAGTACATTGAAACAGCCTTCTAGTAATTTTAGAGAAATGCTTGTTTTTTACTTCTGTACAGATTAAATGGAATAATTATGAAAAGAGAAAAGGATCCATCGAAACCCTTCCTTTTTTCTATTTATTTTGTTTTAACTCTAATCCCCAGACTGTCATCTGTATCCCTAAATGAACTGCATTTTTCCTTTCTCTCTCTTCTTCTGGTTCTGTCCATTCTTGTTTCTATCAAGGTCTTTATCCTTCCAACTCAGGAAGAGTGACTGGGACTTTCTTCACAACTGTTTATTAGTTGGAGAAGTTGCTACTGAGCATAGAAAGGTACTCTCTCTTCCTCCTAGGCTGATCTCTTTACTTTTACAGTGTTACCAGCTTGGAAAGCTAGAGGTTCAGGATGGCGATTGAGCCTGTGTCCAGTTTGTTTCTGGATTTAGCTATGTCTTGTTTTGTGTTTTCTTCTGGTTTGTAAGTTTTGCTTGTCTAATTCACTTCTTTGTTAATTTCTTTAAGTTATGGAGCAGCACCTGTGAATCTCAATATTAAGACAGGAGGACGAGCTTATGGATCTTCTGGTAAGAGAATTTTCACACTAATATTAGTAAAATTCAGGGGGAAAAATTGAATTATTTTGGATTAAGGAAATAATTATAACTTCTAAAACTTACTTGATAAGTTTAAGTCTGGCTTTTTATTTCTCTTCGAAGTGTATTGCAACGGTATTTGGTAGAGACAGAAGGCTTTAGCTTTCCAACTTTTCTTCACAGGCGCAAAAGTTAAAGGAGTGGACCTGGATGCACCAGGCAGTATCAATGGTGTGCCACTTTTGGAAGTGGATTTAGATTCTTTTGAAGATAAACCTTGGAGAAAGCCAGGTAAAGCTCTGATATATGTTAACTGATATGTACTTGTTCAGTAGGTTATTTTAATTGTTTCCTGTTTACAGCATGTGGATGTTATCTACCCTGTTGCTAAAAGTTACTGTACAGTATAACTGGGAAAAAGTAACTAAGTTACTTGTTGCCTTCCTGCTGTGCCAGAGTGTGTGTGGGTGTGCCATGTTTCTTAGTATACACTCTGACCCCATGTCAGGAAAAACAGACTGTGGGACATAGCTTTTTTTGTTAGTTTGGTTTTTGTTGTCTTAATACATGTATGTCCTGAACTCCCTTGGAAATCAGTTTCTCTGTGGAGATTAGTGACCGTAGTCTGTGCTGTGGGGCAGAAGATAAAGCAGAATGGAAAATAGTTCCAGCAGGTTTGAGCAGGAATAATGGTGAAACGTAGCTTCTCGTGCTACATTGTGTTCAGACATAGTCAGTCAAAAGCTTTGAAGAGGAAACTGGGCTTTTGCAAATGGGATTTCAATAAGTCTCCTCTGTGTCGTCTCATCGGCTCAAGTGATTTGTCCAGACTGCCTATTACCAGATTGGGTTTCTTAGTAGCAGTGCATCTTGTTGCTGTGTGTAGTTTTCTCTAGTGTTGGTATATTGCTTTGGCAATGCAAATAGTGTCTACAAAATGGAAAAAGAGAAGCCTTTGATAATATTCTGGTGTTTGAGCTGTTAGCTGTATGAAATACATTCTGTGCATTTGATTTACATCTGGTCTCTTTTTTTATGATAAAAATACTTTGTGGCATCAAGTGAAACTAGGAGTTGAAATGAAATGAGTCAAATACAGAACAAGCAAAAGGCTCTTCACTGAACACATAGCAAACCTGTAGAGCTTAGATTTATCTTATTGTAAAGATATCAGGGATTACATCATATGATTTTTTCAAGTATCTACTCATGATCCCCCATCCATGATGCTAGGCAGGATATTCTTTCTGACTAAATTTAAATGTTTTTATAATCTTAGCCATGAATGCTCTGTGTTTACTGATGTATTATACGTTTCAGTCATGTGATTTTTAGATTTTTAGCTAATCAGTTTTGATGTTATAAATAGAGATGTATGTATGTTCAGTGAAGGAAAGATCAACTTTGTAATGCCCTAAAAACATACACTTTTCTATTTAAAGGGGCTGACCTGTCCGATTACTTTAACTATGGGTTCAATGAAGATACCTGGAAAGCTTACTGTGAAAAACAAAAGAGAATACGAATGGGTCTTGAAATTTTACCAGTTACCTCAGCCACCAATAAAATTACGGTAAGTAGTACTTTTTGGTATTGTCCATGCTTTTGTTTTTCCTGTAAGGCTGCTTATGTGTCTTAAGCTTGTTCTGCCCAGTTCAGTGGGTTTGTTAGAGTTTCCACCTGACTCCCTACCCTGAACCTAGAGTGTTACTGTGTTGCTTCACTGGCAGTTGTGTGGATAGTGTGACAGACAGCTACAGCTAGATTGCATCTGTACCTTTATTGAGATTGTGGCCCATCACTTAAGAGTTGTATGGTATCTTAATGGGCAATGTGTTATTTAACTTAGGCTGAAGACAAAGCTATGGAACTAAGACCAAGTGCAGAGATTCTCGATGGCAGATACCATCTTTTTAAGGTGAATTTAAGTAAACTTTGTTGGTTGCTCTCATTTTTCTTGAGTATTGCTTCCCATACCACCACAGACTGATAGAAGAACAACTGAAATGGACACAGCCATTATTTCAGCTCTCATCTTAACATCAGTGATTTTCCATGTATGTCACAAAATGCAGATTAAAAAGTGTTGCCTTGTTCGTCACTCTTCTGCAAGCATGTGAGTTAGTGGCCTGGTGAACTAACAAATTTCCCAGTGAAACTAATTTTTCTTTATGTGATGGTATATTTTTAGTTGTAGTGCATTTTTTTGTGCAGATTAAATAATTTGTGCAGATGTGCTGGAGAAGCTTTTCGTAGATTATGGCATGTTTATTTTTCCTGTGGCGTTGTAGCTTTTACTGTGTTTTGTAACATGTATCCTAGACAACTCAGATGTGAAAATCAGTCTTCCATATTTTTCTGTTATCCTTTTGGGATTTGATGACAATAATCAAGTTGTATATAATTCTTTTTTCCATTCAGAAAAGCTGATTTTCAGAGAGCAGAAAAACCTATATAACAGGATTTATTTAAAGGATTGAACTTCTTTTTAACTTCTCATTTTCTCATTTGCTCTTTTGTTTGATACTTGATACAAAGGTTATTTATTTTGCCTGTTTTCAATATGCAGTTTTTGTTGTTGAACTGACCTGGAAGTGTTTATTGCTTTATTCTGTATACTCCTGTGACAGAAGTGTCAATTGCAGACAGGTATTTTTGTTTCCCCTCATATGCTACTTGAGGGTATTCAGATATTTTGATTTTATCTTAGCTAGAACAGATCAGAAGCTCTTTGGTGCTTTTTGCCTTCCTCAATTATCATTATAATAGTGCTATGGGACAGTAGAAGTAGTGGGCAATAGGAGTTACAATTTGCAGCTGACTACACTCTCAAACTTCTCTGAACTGTTGTCCTGAAGGAAGAACAGTAAGTAATCCAAACTAAAACTTCCCTTATTTCTAGCTCAATATTGACTCTCTGAGGGTCTGGTGATCAAATAGTACAGATAATAATCATGTTGTTAGATTTTGTCATGTGTTTTACAAGGAGTTGACGTATTATTATTAATTTCATAATTTTTTTCCTCTCTCCTGAAATACTAAGTCTTCTGTAATTTACTTTTTATGTTTGGATTAATCTCCTGTAACTGGTAAGACTGCCTCCTACATTTTCCAGTTACTCATTAATTAATAGAAGTCTTACAGATTTTTCAGACAAATACATAGACCAGACCTATTTTCTACCTTTTTCCCCTCATATTTCTGAATATGAAAGATTAATTCAATTTTTAACTATTTATGTGCATTTCTGTGGGTTTGGGCCTGTGTTTATAAGTGAGATTCTGCAGAAACTTAGTAGTTCAGTTGCCTACAAGAAGCTGTGAGGTCACAACTTATATGATGTTATATATCATGAGTGAACTAGGTATGTAGAGTGATGTAGCTGTGTGGTTGGTACTGTGGGAGTCTTTAAAATCTGAATCAGTAGATATTTGTCTTTAATACTAACCCACATCAGTTTTTCTTTCATGTGTAACTGCTGCTGAAGTCAAACAGTACTTGAAGTACTTGCATCAAAAGTCTTGCATAGCTTTAATAATATGTCTGTGGAATTTTGCAGTACTTCAGAAACAGCAGGGTGTTTTTGAAGTCTTTGGTCTCAACTAATGAAAAATCTTTTACAGTTTGCATAACACAGAGTATGAGGTGACATCCTGGTGTGACTCAGAAATTAAGTGGTTACTAGATCTCATGGTCAGTGATGCAGACAGAGAATCCATTCAAGTTTCTTGTCTAATGGTTTGTTGTTGGGTATCAGGCTTGTTACATATCTCTGTTAAAATTATGAAGATTTTTATGTGTTTTATAAGTTTGCTTCTTTTAAATATGATGTTATTTTGTTCATACAGGAAGTTCTACAAGAAAATCAGTTTGGTCTGTTCATGTACAAATCAAATGCTTGGAAAATAAATATTTAAACTGTCAAATCTTCTGTAATAATTCATTCCCTGGCATATTGCATCTTATATATGTATTAAACACAGTACTAAAGTAATATATCCTTACAAAATATGTACTTTTGCTAGTTGTGCAGAGGTGAGAGTTTTTTAAAATCTGATTCAAGTTGAACTTACTGTCTTTTTGTGTTGGCTATGTGCTATGTTGAGTGTTGGAGCTACTACACTTCTGAGGTTAAACTAATGATGAAACATTATTTTGAAGGTACAGCAGGGCAGAACTGGAAATTTGGAGAAAGAGTTGGCAGTGCAGTCGACCAAACCTGATTTCACATCTCCTCCTGCCTTATTCAAATCAGGAATTCCAACAAACAGGTCAGTTAGACAGTTGTAACTCAAGACCAAAAAAATCTTTATACTGTTACCTTTATTTATTTGAAGCTTACGGTTTTTATAGGAAAAAAACCCCAGAAAATATGTTTCTGTAACAGATAGAAACAAAGGGAAGAGATATCCTAATCACATATGAATACTATGCTACCTTCTTGGCTATTCGGAACAGAGGGAGCAGAAAGAAAGGGGAGAAATAAACAGCAGGACCAAATAACAGTGCAGCTATAAAAATCCTCTTGTTGATGTATGACATCATTAGGTGTATGACAGCATTAGAATGGTCAACAAAATGCTTCTAGCTAGGATCCTTATCAGTATTAACTAACACACCTTTTCAGTTAAGCAGAATAGAATCAGACAGCTGTGACTTCAGCAACTGGTAGGATTCCTGGAGCCCAGTCTCTCTCCTGCAGGGTAGCTTTAGCTTCTCCATATTTGAATATTTTACTATACTTTCTTTGAAATGAGAGAAAATATTTTCTTACTAGAAGATATTCCCCTCATTCCCTCAGCCCCAGGCTTTAATAAGTTCTGTCTTTTATGTCTAAGCTACTGTTGTTTGATACCTGGGCACTTGGCTTAGGATGAATCCATGCTTCTGTTTTAGTTGTTGAGTGATCCTGTTTAGGAGTTTTGGTTCTGTGCAAATTACAAGCCATTGAATTATAAACAATGGTAAGAGAGGTAGAACAGGTTGTTTGCTTTCATCTTCAACCATTAAAGATGAGGAGCTGTGACTTGACTTTAGCTCTGCATTCGTAAGTAGTTCAACTAATTTAGAGGCACTTGGGTTTGATTATTCTATTCTTTAATAGTCAATTCAACACCCAAATATATTTCTTTTGGGTGGGAAAAAAATAATCTTGTTTCATACTCTTGCCTGCACTTTTCTTTCACTCCTAGAATATTCCTCCTGGTAGCTTGAATTTTTCTCTGAGCTATATCAGGTTACAATGCTCTGGGTTTTCTTTGTCAAAGAAACAGTAAAAGACATCAAAACTTTGTGCCAACCCTGTAGCTATTTTTTAAATTTTCTTTTCTGAATTGCTTCTGATGTGTGATGATCTTGTAGTAGAGTTCTCAAATTTGAACATAGTGTTTACAGGACAAGGATTCCCAGTCTGTCTAGAACAGGTTTTGTTGCAGTATTTCAATTCTTTATTCATCTCCTTGGTGGGCAGAGAATATCTAAACTACTTTAGGAAGTAATTAATGACCAGGATATTAAAATATAATCAAGTTTAAAGTTGTAGAAAAAATGCATAGAGTAGATTCTGTGATTGTGTGAAATTTACAGTTGTTGTGACAAAGCTTAATACAGTAAAGATACACATGTGCATGGTGTAGGCTTCATAAGTAAAATGTTTGTTGTATGCTCTAGCTGGGATAAATCTTACCATAGATGCCTTTACACGGTACTTTTGTGTGATGCTTTTTTCTTTTTTCCTTCCTGAAGTTAGAAATCCCAAATTTAAGTGACCATCCTTCTGATTTTCAAGGTTTGAAGTTAGTATATTGGCTGTTAATCAGAGCTTTCCTGAGAAACTTACAACCTGTATTTTCTCCTGCAACAAAGTTTACCCTAGCAAAGGTCAGGAAACCCATGTGTATCTTCAAGAATTAGAAGCCAGTATATGAGGTTGATCTGTTGCCTAGATAAAGAGGAAACAAAGTGGCAGGTTTCCAGTTGTATCCCTTCTGCATTCCTGTGGTTAGAATAGGTTGTTTTGTATACATTAAGTGCCAATACTGTAATTGTAAGTTGTTACAATGACTTCTTCCCATGTTTAATACCTGCTCCTTTGGATACATTTGCTTAAAATAGATTCTTCTGTAGAGAAAGAGGCATTTCTGCCAAGTGGTCAGAAGAGATTTTGAAAGAAAACTGTTATGGTCAGAAGTCTGAGAGTAGCTCAGTGAATGAATGCATCTGAACTATATGGATTGTAGATATTTGAATGACTTTTCCATAATGGAACTGCTATTTTCTATATATGAAAACCTGTATTACTAATTTCTTTATAACCAGGCAGTGTTTTATGTGGTTGGATATATTTTTTTTCTTAGTTTAAAGAGTTTATTTTCAGTAGGCAGAAATATTTCAGCAATACAACTCTTTGATAATTTAAAATAATTGCCTTTATTCCATGAGGCATTTAGAATATCCTTTTTGTGAAATTGATGGCAGCATTTCTCATGCAGGAGTGAAACTTCTCTCAGCTTCTAGCAGTAGTTGATGTATTTTCTGAAAGGGAGGAAAAACTAATGCAACTAGATATAGCAGCATTGGTGTGGGAGTTGGTAAAGAGCTGGGCATGAGAAAAGGAGCCAAAAAGACACAAGGAAAGAAGGCAATTTATCTCACCAGAAGCAGCAGCAGCAGCTCTGAGTCACAGACTAACACTGCCTCCAGAAAAGCCAGTGCAGGCATCAGAAAGTGGCAGGAACAATATTTTTGGTTTGAGTATGGTAGATATTTGCATACCATTGCAGATGAATGTCTCAAACCCAAAAAACCTAAAACCCATTGAGGTCTAGCAATAACATTACTCCTTATCAATGTGGAGGTTGCAGTTGACAAAGTAGAAACAGAATTATTGCTCACCAGCAAATAAACATTACTACACTAGAATTACATCCTAAATATATAATGCAAAGAAAAATTCAGTACTTGTTCATACTATGTGTCTCTCTGAGAAATTTTGCTTGAATTTGTAAGCAATGACTGTCTTAATCACAGCTGAGATATTAGCTGTTTAGGAATGACAACTGAATTTCTTGTCTTGATTCTGTAGTACTTAGAGCTGTTGAATAGCAGAAAGTGTTGTGTAACCCTGAAGGAGGAGTTAGATCATAATGGAAATGGTTTAGTAAATGGACATTGTATACAAACAGTACTTTACAAAATGAAGTCTTGGTTCTCTGGAAGTAGTTGATAAAAGATTTATTGTTTAGTCACAATTAAGGCAAAACCCTGAAGGAACCTCTTTTGACTATAATGCTTTCTAGAACCTGAAGAGTGTTTGACATATTTCAGTGAGATGGGGTTTTTTTTAGTTGTAGAGAATTAAGCAGAAGTTTCATTTATAAACTGGCTGCAAAGGCTGGTATTTTGTCGTTCAAGTAGTCCCTAGAACAGCTCTCTACCACTAAACATTTTATCTGTCAAAATTTTTTTTCATCTCATTTTTTTTCATTTATGCTTTTGCAGTTGGTAAAGAGTATATTGCTTTTAAATGAATTTTGCTTTCAGAGAAATTAGCCCCTCAATTCAGTGGGCTATTTAACAACTTTATCTGTACTTAGGCCTTTCTGTAAGCAGAACTTTTATAGAAAATGGATTTGTGATCTGTAATTACTATGAAAAATACAGGTTTCTCTTGTTTCATGAACTAGCCTTGCAAGACTAAATGCTGAAAACTCAGATATTATTTTGAAAAAAGTATCAGAAAATTCTGTATTAAATTTGTTTGCTTATTTATATCTGTCAGTGCTAAGTGAGCTTAGCAAAGTTGCAGCTGTTCTTAAGAGGAGGAAAATATAGCATAAAACACATAAGCAAAATAAGAAGGAACAGAAGAACGTATTAAATATGGTTTTTGAAGTATATTAGAATTTCATAATTATTAGACTAGACTATAAGTCTGCTGAATAAATGTGGTGTCCAGTAGTTAGACTGTTTCTGAATTCTGGAAAGTGGTGGTGGGGGTGTTCCAAAAAGCAGATTATTATATTATCTGTGGTAAGGATCAGTGATTTCTGAAGCTATGAACTTGGAAAATAATTGGTTTGGTCTTTTTCTTTTTTTCCCCCCTCTTTCTCTTTGCTCTGTAGAACCTAAATATACTCAGCTTGCCAAATAAGATTGAGTTATCTTTCTGAATTAAATCTCCATGGAGAGTGGTATTCATAGTGCAAATAGATCGTAAATAACCATTCTCTAATTAGAGTGAAATAACTCAGTTGCTGGAATGTTCCTTTCAAGCTACACTTTGTATGAACTCTGCTGTTGGTTCGTGTGCATCCCACACATGGGGATTGCCTTTTTATGTTTGAGTGTATCCATTGGGAATGCATCTGTATCCCAGGTGCCCTGATCACATAGGGGACAAAAAGCAAGCCTTTCCTTTCCTTTGTGTACAGCGCTGAGACAGAAACCCAGTAATGCCTGCATAACATCTTAGGACTAATCTAGGTAATGTCTAAGAAGTCTTTGAAATTTCTCCCTGTGCCAATTTGCTGTGACTTAATCTAGATTTGAGGCTTCAGATTTGCCCTTTTTACAAAACTGCCAAACTTAAATTCTGACACTCAGGGTGTCTCCCCTGCCTTTGTGCAGATTATGTTTTGACAGTAGTGTCATCTGCTGATCCATTTGCAGCTGAATATATGCTTTCTCTTGTTCAATTTCAAGCACTTTTAGTGGACTGCTTATTGAAATAATTATTGCAGTTTTGAAAGTAGAGAATTTGTCAAGGTATGATGGGAAATTCTTGAACTCATCCATCATGAAAATTCAGTCTCTTGGTAGTTATTAGAAAGAACAATGGACATAACGGTATCAAACATTTAAATATATAAAGTACCTGCTCAGTGAGACTGAGTGAACATAAGTGTACTCTTCAGAATCTAGCAAAATTAAGTGAAAGGTCTGTTCATTTCAGTAAATTTGATGTCTAGAAACCAACTAACTGGTAGTGTATATTTGCTTCCTTTTCTAATGCAGTGGTGTGTTTGGGCTGCTTCCCAAATTCATATTATTGTAGTATGGTTGAGGCACATACAGTTTTAATGCCCAGTACTTTTGCACTGGTGCCACTGTGTGTTTTCTATGCTGATTCCAAGAGTTGCAGGCAGTGTGCAAACAGTGTGAGAGAGGAAGTCTTAATTCTGGCGTGTATATCACTCCCAAGTGGAAGCTCTGTGAATCAGTGGAGCCAGCCAAGCAGGGACTTCTTGCTGTTGTATAGTATCATCTGTCATACACAAGGACTAAAGCTAGGAAAAATGAGTTTTCTAGGATATGGTTTAGATAATTAAGAGAACATACCAGCAGTGGAGGAGAACAAGTCTCTTAGAACTCTAAAACCAAATGAGCTGTCAGAGGCAAGACTGAGACAGTGAGAACATTTGTTGGTTTAACAATTGTTTAATAATTTAGTTACTGAAAGCAAAATAATAATCCCAAGTGCAGCCATGCTGGAATGTCATGCAAGACCACTAGGGAGGATTGGGAAAGCAGGTATTGATTATTTCAGGATTTAAAGTGATACAATCTTAACTTCTAGGGTGGCGTGCTAGAAGACCAATTTTGTGTTATAGTTGGAGAAGCTGCTGTATAGTATATACTGTTTTATTTTGCAAATGGGTTCTCAGACTTGTCTACCGTTGGATTGGTTGGGTTTTTTCCTCGAAACAGTTGTGCTTAATAAGCTTGCTTCAAAATCCAGGAGGGAGCTCTAAACCCAGATATTGAAATGCTCAGAGGACAGGCATTTGGATCATCCTCAGTACACAGTCTGCCAAGGAGCTTCAGATTATCTCTGGGAGATCTAATTGTTCCTTCATGCTCTAGTGTCTGCTGTGTCTTTTTCAGCTGCATTGAAATCAAGGTATTTGAGCAATTGGAGTCAGAGCTATCAGTCTGGCAGAATTTTGAGCCTGTAATTCCAATTTGCCGCTGTTCTCCCTGCTATTTGTATTCACGGGGTTAGTAGTACACTAGCTGCAAAAATGCTTATAGGTGAGACACAGATGTACCTTGTTTCTCTCAACCATTACCAGTGTAATTTTCTACCTGATTTTCTAGTGGAGCTGACTAGGTGAATCTTATTTAGCCTCTTTTAGAAATTAACAATGGGCTGCAATACAGGTAGGTTTTGTTCTATGTGCATAAGAGTTACACATTTTCTCTAAAGTTTGGTTTCTGGGTTTCAGTTGTTTCAGGGCTGCAGACAGGAAAGTTCACTATATTTTAGATTATTCCTCTCTTCAAAATAGCAATTCCCATTGTCACACACACCAGGTTTTAGTTTTACTAGGTGGCATTCAGACTGTTGTCATATTTTCTGGCCTGGTGCCTGGAGTACTTCTTTAGTTTCAGTATATTCCAGTGTGGTCGATTTACTGAAGCTTTTGTGAGATCTACTGTGCTTCGAGTTTCAGTGTTTGTATCCAGTAGAATGTTGCTCTCAGTGTAGCATTTTTAATCTGCTTTGAAAAGTTAAAAATCAAAAGTTACAGTTGGCAGCTGAGTAGTTACAGTATCAGATCATTTGGGAAGCTTAAAGATACCTCTCTGAACAGACTGTGTGGATATCTACATGGGAGTTGAGAATTTTATAGTAGGAACAACTTAAGGTAACAGGGACAAGGTTAATAGATTGAGTTGCTTGGAAACTGAAGTGAGGTACATTTGTATTTAAAATTCCCATATTGATGCCAGTGTGAGCTGGAATTACTTGTTCATAGTGAACTGAATTTTTTGAGCTGTTTGAGAGAGAAATCTGTCATTTTGAAAACTGAGGAACAGAAGTATGAATGGCTGGTCTAAGATTCCTTTGAGTTTCATGCAAGGTTTAGTTTAAGAGTCAGTGTTTACTAGTTTCATGTACTTTGTTTGATATTAAGACTATCTATTCCAGGATAAGAGAGTTGGCATCTGATTTTGTTCAATATGTGCTGCATTATCAATAGTAGGTGTGGTTTATTTCTGCCTTCTGTCTGACCTTTATTTGATCTTTCATGAAATCTTCCATTACGGTTTCACAGACTTTAGAAATTATTTCTGATTAATAGTTTATAGCTATTTTATATTAGCTTTTCCTGGAAGTTCTGTTTAATACATTTTTTTTCTTACTGAGGTTTTGTGATCTTTCATTTTGGTTTTTTCTCCTGTTGTTTTTGTAAGACAAGAGTAGATGTATTATCTTGTATGGGACAGAAGGAGAGTGTTGGAGAGTCAAGTCTTCATCCTGCAGGAGACTTTATTGCTGCATTGTTTAATTCTGTACACTTACGTTGTTCAGCAAATGCATCACATTTACTGTTTTTCAGAAATTCTTGTATCTCTTCTCCAGGAGAAGGAACTTTGGGCACTTAGAATGAGAGAAATACATAAAGCTTTCTTCTCTCTCTTTTATTTTTTTTTTCCCCCCCCCCCCCTTTTCTGCTTGTTGATTCTGGTTTGTGCTGTGTTGCAGGCGATTATCTGGCACCATAGATGTGATTGGACAGAGCATCACTATCAGCAGGGTGGAAGGACGACGGCGTGCTAATGAGAACAGCAACATACAGGTTTTATACTGCAGATTTGCACTCTGTTTTTGACTAAAACACGTTTTTGCTTTCCCTGTAGCTTCTGATTAAAACATGGCAGTGTGTATGAATGAGTAATACATAAGTAGCTTTAAGTTCAGGAATAAGGTTGTGGCAGTTATTGAAATGAATTAAGGTGAAATATTTCATAAATTTCAAAAGATAAATGTTTTGGTATATCTCTTACTGAAAGGAAATGAGCAATGTTGCAGACTTGCAATCCAGGATACAGTATTGGCATTGCTGGATGTGCAAGGGATAGGGTTTTGTTTCCTGAGTGACAAACATAAATATTTGAACTGCCTGTCCGTTTCTCCTCTGTTCCTGCCAGACATTAATCCTGGAAGAGAAAGCCCCCTTGTACGCAGTTTGAGAAATGCAGTCTTTTTAAAAAAAGTTGTGAAGGAATAAAGAGTTGATAGTAGGCTTTTTTTAATTATATTGTAGTATTTTGCCATAAATTGTAAGATGAGTCTTTATCATTTTAGTCCGTAGTGCATTGTATTATCTAAAGAAAGCAACTAAATGCATTAAGATAGAATGCACCTCTTCTGAACAATCAGAGAGAAGAATCAGGGTTGCTTGGTGCCCTAGTTGCATTTCCATGCCATCTTAGGTTATTAAGGTTAAACAGGGAATATAATAATGGATTGTAGTGCTTGTATTGAAAACATTGCCATGTGCTATTCATCTGATCCCACAATGTTTAAGTAATTTATAGTCTTGGGTTTTTTCATGCTTTTTGTATTGATTTTTAAAATATTTTCCTTTATATACATTTAAGGTGATGTTCTGGGCCATATTCAGATGGGTTATATTTCCTCTCAGGTCTTACTTTTGTTGTTCCCTGTTGTCTGCTCTTAGACTTTTAAAGGTACTTGGCAGGTATGGGACACTGAACATAGGTATGCAGGTAGAACTTAAACCATCTGAATATGGCTCTTCAGGTGCAAAGTGATGTTTTCCTGTTGTAGTAATTGGAAAGAGGGGAAACCTATCTTCTACCCTTTTGACATAGCAATTGTAACTAGAGTTTGATATTTTACAGGTTCTTTCAGAACGCTCTAATCCTGAAGTAGACAATTTTACCAAGCCACCTCCATTTTTCCCTCCAGGAGCTCCACCTACCCACCTTCCACCACCTCCTTTCCTCCCACCCCCTCCAACTGTTAGTACTGCTCCACCTCTGATTCCCCCACCAGGTAAATATCCTGTACTACAAAGGATATGAACAATTCATTAGCATCAAATACTTGAGATGCATTGTGCAGAATTTCAGAATTTTGTGCTCTACTGTTTTCTTAAATATATCTGTAAGGCAGAAACAGAAAATGTAGCTTTACTTTGTTAGTAAGCATAATCCTAAGTAGTAAATAATGACCTAAAGGCTAACTGTTGGTTCTTGTGTTCATGAAATGCTTGAAGTGAGAAGCTGTTTTCTGTAATTCAATAACTGTTAATGCTATTGAGAGGTACATGTTAACAAGTCATTCTACAAACTTCTGAAGTAGAAGTATGGCATACCATGAATTTGTGTCCCAAGTTGGGTTCTCTGGTGTCTAAGGTCAGAGCAGCAAGAGAACTTCTAATTCCCCTTTTCCCTCACAGCATGTGTGAATTCCCAAAGGTCTGGTAAGTATTGCATTTGCACTGTATCCCTTCTTTCATTTGGAGGCCTTACTAGGCCCTGATGTCTTTATCCAGTGTCCTGTGTGTGAATCAAAGCTCTTTGAGAATTTTTCCCATTTTTAAGACTGTTTCAGAATGTACTGATACTTACTGAACATTTATTGAAACTTGATATATATGGAAATTTACTGGTGTAAAAGGGCATTTGTACACATGGTGCAATTACCTGAGTGTTGTCCTTTTAAGGAATTAAGTTCAGAAGGATTTAGTAAGAAACTAAGAAGAATGTCAGTGAGAAATTAAAATAGATGGAGAAATTTTATGGAGTATTTGAGTAGGAAAGTGAAGCATTTGTCTATAGAGGAGACTGATTTAAGGTGGAGCCTTTTTCCTTATTTCTCCTTCTGTTCCTTGCATTCTTTTGCTTGACTTCCTCTGAAATCGTGCTGAGCAGTTTCTTTGCTATTCTATTTGCATAGGGAATCTTTTAAAAGTTTCTCTGTTAATCTTATGTATAAGCAAAGAAGTAGCATTATTATTTGAGTGCAACAAGTGTGAGCCTTTGTAGGGTTTAAATCCTCACAGAAGAGGTTGCTTTCTTCAGTTGCTGCTTCTAATTTTAAAAACTCAACTCCTGCTGCCTGGCAAGCTCTGGCTTTCCTTTATTATTGTCATACACAAAATGATACAACCTAGAAAACAGAAGAGGAGAGATTTAAGGATTAAATAATTCCATCCCCTTTTCCCTTTATTTTTGCATAAATATGAAAAATAAAGTTTCTGAAGAGTGAATATGCTACTGCTCTGGGAACTTTGTGATGTTTCCTTACTGCAGGGGGAACAGAAAGGAGAGGAATGTGACAGTAATGCTCACTGCATTTTTGTGCTGCATTAAAGCTTCATTACCTTTCTAATAAAACAATATAGGTAATTCATTGCAAGTTTTTAGAAAATAGTTGTTTAAATTGTAATTGTGGTACAGAAAAGGCTATCTGAGTTGCGTATTATTTAAAGCTTGAGAGGAAACCCCACAGACATCCTGCACTTGGTGCAGTGATGTCACGTGCAGGTACTGGGCTATGCTTATGAAACCCCTCACCTGTTGAGTTTTAAAGGTGTAAGAAATGCACATGTGGTACAGATCTAGCAAGCAGGTTTGCCTTTAATCTTGTGAATTACAGACAGGTTAATGCCATACACTTGTTCAGAAGGTCTCCTTCAACATCCTTCCGTGCTTTGAGTAGATTCGAAAATAATGATTAAGAGCTGTGGATTTGGTATCTTCAGGCCTGTGTTTTAATTGTGCTGTTGCCAGCTCTTCATCTTCAAAGCTGTTCCTAAAATAGAATCTGCCATCCCTCCTAGGTTCAGTGGAGGAGGAGGAAAAAAACCTACACTTACCCAATATTAAACTGGGACTACTTGCCAGAAAATTTAAGTATTCCAAATATAAAACATCCTCCAAAAGCGCCTTTGAAAAAGGATCTTGCTTTGAAGTTAGATCTCTTGTTCTGTATTCATTCACTCTTGCGATTCAAATCTTTTTTGAGGAGCCAGTCCTGCAATAATTCAAGGGGCCAAACACAGAAAATTCTGAAATAGTCCTAGGAGATGACAGGCTGTGGCAAAAAAAAAATGTTAGTTTTTGTTTGCTTGGTTTATTACTATGGTGGAGTAATTTACATCTCAAGAAGAACATGGATGCTTCTGTTAACCAGGCTTTAAAAGTTGGTTTATGTGCTTTGGTTTAAGTGTGTTGTTAAAATGTGACATGTATTTGTGATACAGCAGAAAAGAAATTCCTCTGAAGTAGTGAACTTCTGTTGCTTAACTTTGCAGTATATACCAGGGTTTGGCAAGTGACTGTGTGTCTCAGCCTCAACAACTGAAGTGTGTACTTTTTATCTTGTGATAGAGAGAATTTGACCTGATTTAGCATGTGGCAAATGAAAGTTTTACACCGAGTTGTATTATGTTGCTGTGTCTATTATACAGTTCAGCTAATTTGCAGTATGTTGTTAAGCTCTGGCAGTGTTAATCATGTTGATTCCTTACTCCACAAGCAGAGCACATGTGGCATTGCTTTCCTTTAGTAAAACCTACTTGGTCTTCTGTAAATATTTACTAGCCTTGAGTGAGTTGGATGGTATACAGTGTCCTGAAAGCAATTGTGAGGACATTAGGTAAAATGCTGCACTAATGTCATTTGGGTTGCTCTTGACACGCGAGGCTGAGTATTTAGGTTTAGGCTGAGTGTATGTTTCTGGCAACACAACGTGTTAGAGGGATGTGACAAGGTCTATACTCAGTCTCTTTCTTGCAATGGTACTTAAGTTTACTCCTTACATTGCAAGAAATGACCCAATATTTCAGAGTCTCTTTTCTTTCTCAGAGGTAATTGGCTGATGACACTTCAAGTATATTTTCATACACTGCATTAGTAGAAGGCAAAGGTGGGAAGTCTAAAGAGATTCTGAATTTTCCAGTAACTGAAGCTTATGATTTTTTTCTGCTTTTGTGTCATATCCATGTGTTAGTGAAGAAGATGAGGAAAAACCTTTGTTTAGATCTTTTTAGTATTACTTGCTAACTTGGAATGTGGAATGTTTCTTTCATTGTGATACCGTCAAGTATATTAGCTTCTGTTTTAAAATTATAGGAACATTAATCATGACTTTTTAAATGTTCTTAAAGGTTTTTGAGGAAAAAATGCCTATGGGTTTGGGGTTTTTTAGTATGATACCCTGCATTGACAATTAATTAAAAGCATTTGGACATTTGGTTTCTGGATATGAGTTGTATGCAGTCTGTCTTAATTTTGATTGGCACTCGAGTGAAATTTTTCATTTAGCTTTTAGTGTTCTGATGCAATTTTTTAAAATTCTGAACAAGATAGAATTCTGAGGAATGCATTAATTGCTTAATCAAAAATTTTTCCATTTTATAAAGAGTATTAGCTGGTGGTTTTCTAAGCAATTCTCTGCATAGAGCCATGTTCAGTGCTAACTATATACTGGTTTTAGTGCAGCAATTGAAATCTTTTTAAGCGTAAGGTAGAGCTAATGAATGAATCAATTTGAAAGAAATTCTGATTTATTTTTTTTAGCTTATGTTCTTAAC